GGGTGGGTGACACTGACAGGGATGGGTGGGTGACACTGACAGGGATGGACGGGTGACACTGTGACAGGGAAGGGTGGGTGACACTGTGACAGGGAAGGATGGGTGACACTGTCGCAGGGATGAGTGGGTGACACTGTGACAGGGATGGGTGGGTGACACTGTCACCTGTGCCAGGTGGGAGGGCAGGGAGCTGGGGCACAGTTTTGGGGCTGCTGAGGGCCAGGAGCAGAGCCTGCCCCATCCTGCATGAGCGTGTCCTGCTGCCAGGGCCTCGTGGCATCTGGATCCCCCCAGGAATGTCCCCCCTGGCTTCGGGCATCTCGGGTGTCCTGGGACCCCCCGCCCCACCAGGAGCATCCACAGGGACACGGGATCCAGGCTGGATGGGCTGGGAGCAGCCTGGGCTGCTGGAAGGTGTCCCTGGGAGCGACTGGGTGGGCTTTAAGGTCCCTTCCAACCCGAGCCATTCCAAGATTCCGTGGATCAGCCCCCAGGACACGGCCCAAGTGCTCCAGCCCCGTGTCCCCCAGCCCGTGTCCTGCCCTGGCCCTGCCTGGCTCTGCTTGTGTGCCCAGTGTGCCCAGTGTGCCCAGTTCCCTCCTCCCCAGTTCCAGCATGGCTTCTGGGCTGGGCTGGAGAGAGAGAGAGAGGCCAGGAGGGAGGTGGGATCTGCCAGGGAATGCCCCTGAGGGATGCTCAGATCCCAGTCCACCCCAGTCCTACAGCCTCTGGTGACGGGCTCGGACAGGCCTTGGATCAGCCTGGGCTGCTGGAAGGTGTCCCTGGATGGGCTTTGAGGTCCCTTCCAACCCACACCGTTCCATGATTCCATGTGCCAACCTCTCCCTTTCCTTCTCTGTCTCTCTCCTGTCTCTCAGCGCTAAATCCCAGGAACATCCACCCTCGTTCCCCGTGCCCCTCCATCCCTTTTCCAGGCTCCTCTTCCAGCCTTTCCTGACCTCTCTACCTTTCTTTGTGCCCCAGATGAGTTTCCTGCTCCCCCGAAGCCCCTGAAGGCCTCAGACCGTACGTCCCAGTAACGTCCCCGTCCTGTCCCAGTTTGGCGCTGCTCGGGACTGGTTTTACTGGTTCAGTGTCCGGGCTGGGGGAGGATCAGCTGGGTTCAGTCTGGGCACCTTGGGAGAAGGGAATGGCTCCGGCTTGGCATCCTCCTGCCCACTGGGGGCAGGGAAAGGGCTCCCCTGCCCTTTGGGGTGTCCCTGCTGGCACGGGGAGCTCAGGGCAGGGCCCTGCCAGGGATTCCTGCCTGAAATTCCATGGAAAGGGGTGATTATCTTCGTGGAACCACAGAACTGGATAGGTTGGAAAATCCCTGTGATCCAACAAGTCCAGCCATTCCCCCAGCACTGCCAAGGCCACCCCTGGCCATGTCCCCAAGTGCCACATCCACAGGGTGTTAAATGCCCGCAGGGAAGGGGACTCCCTCCACCCTGGGCAGCTGTGCCAGGGCTGGACAGCCCTTTCCAGGAAGGAATTTTCCCAATATCCAACCCTAGTGCCGCTTGAGGCCGTTTCCTTTCATCCTGTCACTCCTACTCTTGTCCAAGCTCCCTCTCTTACTGCCCCCCCTTCCCTGGGGACCCTTCCTGGGGCTGGGAATTCCCATTTTTCCTGGGACACAGCCCTGTGTGTGTCCTGCCCTGAGGTGAGTGCTCGCAGGGCTCCAATTTGGGTGCAAACCGCAGCATTTTGGTGCCTCCAGCCCCCTGTGGTCACCACGGCCTGGGGTGGGACACGGCCCTGGAGGCGCCTCCAGGAATCCCTGACGGCTCTGATGGCTCCTCTCCTGTGATTCCCAGTGGATGACGGGCTCGGATTCCTGCCGACCTTCGGTCCCTGCTACATCAACCTCTACGGGAGCCCCCGGGAATTCACGGGATTCCCCGATCCCTACGAGAGCCTCAACCTGGGAAAGGTGACATCGGCTTCTCTCCGGGCTCCACTAACCCGGCAGCTCCTCCTGCTCCAGCCCGGCTGCTCTAACCCCCCCCGGCTCTGGCAGCGGGATCCTGCACTGGCTCCTGCTATTCCTTGGCTATTCCCGCTGCCTCCGACCTCCCGGCTCCGCTCCGCTCCCAGAACTTTCCGCCCGGGAAGCGCCCGCCGGAGCTCTCTTTGCTGCTCTTTTCTCCTCCGCGACGGAGCTCCTGGAAAAACCAAAGGCAGAGCTGATCCGTGGGGAGGGAATGCCGGGATCCTGACGCTTCTCCCTGCTCTGTCCCAAGGGAGAGGGCGTTGCCTACCGGGGCAGGGTGCTGGTGGAGCTGGAGACCAAACTGGTGGAGCACCTGGAGCAGAAGGTGGAGGATATTCCAGCGGATGACGTCCTGAGGGTGGAGGTAACGGGCTCTCGGGGGGCATTCCGGGGGGTGTCCGGCCCCTTGGGCACGTGGGACACTCTGGAAGGGGTGTGGGAAGTTGCTCCAGGGTGGGTCCCGTGGTTGGGGAGCTCCTGGAGGTGCCTCCTGCCGAGTTCCATTCCAAGGTGTCCGTCCGAGGATTGATCCGTCCGAGGTCCCGTGTGGTGTGAGCTGATCATGGGGAACTGGGAATCATGGAACGGTTTGGGTTGGGAGGGGCCTGAAAGGTCATCCAGTTCCATGGGCATGGACACCTTCCACTGTCCCAGGGGGCTCCAACCTGGCCTTGGACACTTCCAGGGATCCAGGGGCAGCCACAGCTTCTCTGCCCAACCTGTGCCAGGGCCTCCCCACCTTCCCAGGCAGAGATTTCATCCCAAAATCCCACCCAAACCTCCATTTTTCCACTATGAAGCCATTCCCTGTGTCCTGTCCCTCCCTCCCTTGTCCCCAGTCCCTCTCCAGCTCTCCTGGAGCCCCTTCAGGCCCTGGAAGGGGCTGGAAGGTTTCATGGACCGTTGGAAGGTTTGCCTCCACTCTGGTTCTCTCCCAGATTTGCTCCCTTTCCTCATTTTTCACCTTGCAGCTGCATTTTCCATGAGAAGCTGTGGCCTTCTCCTTGTTTTCCTGCATATCTCCCCCAAAACTCCTGTGCTGCTAAGTGTGTTTTTCTGCCCTGCAATGGAATTCCCACCTTGGAGGCCTCTCTGGGCTGTGTGTGCTGGGCAGTGAAGGGTCCCTGAATCCCAGGATCCCTGAGGTTGGAAAAGCCCTCCCAGCCCAGGAATCCCCCCTGTGCCTGATGCCCCCTTTGTCCCCCAGCCCAGAGCACTGAGTGCCACATCCTGTCATTCCATGGGCACCTCCAGGGCTGGGCACTCCAAACCTCCCTGGGCAGCCCCTGCCAAGGCCTCACCACCCTTTCCAGGAGGAAATTCCTCCTGATGTCCAACCTGAGCCTCCCCTGGCACAGCTGGAGGCCGTTCCCTCTCCTCCTGTCCCTTGTTCCCTGGGAGCAGAGCCCGACACATGGAGAGATTCATCCTAAGCCACTTTATCCAGAACTTGAACTCCCCGAGGCCACCTGGGAATGACTCACCTCAGGATCCAGAGTGGGATTGGGAAGCAAACGCACACCTTGCTGGAAAACAGCTCTTCCTGGGCTGGAATGGGGTCCCCCCATCCCTACTGAGTCTCACCATCCTGGTGACTCAATTGCTGCTGGAGAACAGAGAAAAGAGCCCCCTCAGCTCTTGTCTGGGGGTTGCAGAGCCAGAAGGTCCCCCCTGAGCCTCCTTTTCTCCAGGCTGAGCCCCCCCAGCTCCCTCAGCCCCTCCTGCTGCTCCAGCCCCTTCCCCAGCTCCGTTCCCTTCCCTGGACTCCCTGGCTCGGTGTCCAGGAGGGGGGTGGTGGCCTCTCCTCCACGCCCACGCTCCCGTTCCCGCCGCAGAAGTTCCTGCGCCGCCGGAAATATTCCCTGTTCGCCGCCTTCTACTCGGCCACGATGCTGCCGAGCGTGGAGGCCGCGGTGCAGTTCGAGGTCAGCATCGGCAACTACGGCAACAAGTTCGACACCACGTGCCTGCCCCTGGCCTCCACCACCCAGTACAGCAGGGCCGTGTTCGACGGTGAGTTCCCGGCCTCGGGAGGCTCCAATCCCAGCGGGATGAGGGCGTGGGATCGCGGAATGGCTTGGGATTGGGAGGGACCTTAAAGCTCGTCCGGTTCCGTGGGAAGGGAGACCTTCCACCAGCCCAGGTGGCTCCAAGCCCCGTCCAGCCAGGCTTTGGACGCTCCCAGGGATCCAGGGGCAGCCACAGCTGCTCTGGGAATTCCAGCCCAGCCCCTCACCACCCTCCCACTGAAGAATTCCTTCCCAAAATCCCACCCAAATTTCCACTTTTCCAGTTTGACACCATTCCCTGTGTCCTGTCCCTCCCTCCCTTGTCCCCAGTCCCTCT